TTCAATCCCCGTCATCTCTCTTTATCTTCCCTTCTTTCCAATTTTTCCCCTCTCTGCACATCACGTATAGGCAATTCCTCACGGCTTTTTTCGTGAGGAGGAACCGAAACCGGACACGTAAGTCGCTGGTCGTTAGTCGTCGATAGCTTGCCATCAATGTGGTGTGATAGTAAAAGAGAGAGAGAGAGAGAGAGAGAGAGAGAAAGAGAGAGAGGCAAATAGAAAGGATCGGTTTACGAGAGAGGATTATAGAAGGGGATGAAAAGGAGTGAGAAACAGAGAGGCAAAAGCAGAAAGAGAGAGAAAGAAAAAGAGAGAGCGCGTCACGGTAGAAGTAAGACAATCAATAAGATTGCCAGGTCCGAAGGAACTCAAGCCTGGATTCGCTGAATGAGCTCGATACGCTTGCTGCCAGGCTAGGAGAACACGCGTTTCATGAACGAAGTTATCAGATCTTATCCCTGAATGCGAAAACGTCGGATTAAAGTCTTCCGCGAGAATAAGTACGCAACAATGAAGGGCGTTGAAATTAAACGAAAAGTAAGCTTTCCCACGAGGAAGAGCCTGCTCTTCTCTCAAAGAAGTCAATACAAGATCTAGTCACCAGACAGGTAATAGGATAGGTCAGGACAGGCACGAGATAGGCCAGAGAATGTCCGTGGACGTCAAGTCGCATGCATGAGAAGGGTTGCCGAAGCGAAGAGGTGGCGATGAAAAGCGTGCACGAATGGGGTGGAGGCAGCACAATCGCCGCTCTGGCGGATATTGCCGGAACTACGAATTACCCCGTGTTGCCGGGGGTACTTCCCTGCCGGGGTGCACTTCTTCAAAAGCTCGAATGAAGCGTTGCGATACCGGTGTCTATCTTGAAACAACGACGCGAGAGATTCCGGGGATGAAATTTTGCGTCGATAAGGAAGAACCACTCTCGCTTGGGGTGATCGTAAGAGAAATACAAAATACTTCAGAGCTTTCCCTTACACTACACGTTACTAAATTGTAAGCCTATTAATCTCCTTATTGTACCTTTTATATATATTAAATGAAAATGAAATCCGAATTTTGTATATAATTATAAGAATTGTATATTAGATGATGAATAAAAAATAAAGTAAGAACACGAATTTTTTCTTGATATTTTTTTATTGATTTAATTTCGCAATGCCAGAAATAATCGATCTTGCAGCAAATTTAAAATAAAAAATAGTTTAAATAGCTATTTTTTTAGAATTATTTAATTACCATTTATTTCTCTGGATTTAAGGAAACGATTATTAGGATAACTATTTGTGTTTTTCTATCCTTGTTTTACGTCTAATGAATAACAAAGATAGAATAATACAAATATGGCGTTGAATTTTTAGAAAATAAAATTAATATTAAATAATTACTTTAAACGCCTTTAAGGAAAAATTTTGTCATTTTTATATAATAACGCATAAATAATACTCTGCAATTTTGTTGCAACACACAAAATAGTTATTATTCATAAACGAGAAAGCACAAAATAACATTAACTTAAGGATGGCTTAAATTTGTTAAATTCTAATTTGTTATTTGTAAAAAAAAAAAATTCTAATTTTTTTCGAATGCAAAATTTTGATCATCATTTAGAATTTAGATGAACAATCCTAAAAAAGGCGCTATGTGTGAACTACGAAGGGTTAAAGTCTGCGCACGATCGGAAAACCATAGATCCTAAGAGAAACTTTCTCGGCCTATGTGGCACTAACAATAAATAACAAGGTCGGCAATAAATAAGGAGCTTGTTGAAGAAGGTCTCGTGCGTCACAAAAGCCGGGGTCACGATACAGAAAACGCCCAGCGAAGCGCATTCATCAAACTTTTACAAGAATATTAGAAAATATCAAAAAATAATTCGCATGTTGATTTTCAAAGAGAAAGAAAGAGATAAATATACTCATATAAATAGATTCAATTAGATCTGCGACTAAAATTTAATATATATATCTAATTTCAAATCTTTTTCTAAAAAACTCTATAATAAATAAATTCTATGAAACTTTTAATCGATTAGTAAGAAAAAAAGAGTACCATTTCGAGAACATATTTTTAATCTAATACGATTGAATTTTTATCGAACAAATATTTTTATAACACCAAACGTAATTTGTATTGGACGTTAAAGTGAAACGTTCGCCCACATTTTCAATTAAAATTTCGATCAAACTTTATATTAACTACGTTAAATGTAAAATTGCAATAAGCAACGATTTTCTTTTTCTTTTTGCACAATCATGGCTAACTGCTCCTGCGAATTGTCGTCGAATTTCGCCATGTCGTTAGAACTTGGCGATCGTAAAAACCATCTCGAAATTTGCGCGACACGTTTTAGCATCTACGTCCTGTACATCAAACGGTAATACTTTCCCAGAGCATTCTCTCTCTCTCTCTCTCTTTCTCTCTTCGCGGCACGCAACTCGTTCTTCCTATTTATATTCAGAATCGGATTCATGCACGAGTGCCCATTATAGGAAAACGTTGCTCAAAGAATAGAGGAATCGTCTGTGTCTGCAGCCACCCGGCAACTGTGCATATGCCACGCGAGTTTAGAGTGCATGTGCATACAGCCAGCTCTGGAAATGAGTCGAAACCTTTTTCACGACAGAAAGACGAAGATGGCAGAGTATACGAAATCAGACAAGGTCTTCGAAATGCAAGTACGGGAAATATGATGAAATTGTACACAGGGAAAACTGGTTTCTAGGAAACTTGATTTCTAGGAAAAGTGACGGTAACCTTAATGGAAATCCCACATTGAAAAGTTTGCGATTGTACATGTTACTTTATGAAGAAAGCAGCAGGAAGTTCCGTTAATAAGTAATATCCACTCACAAGAAGATAAAAGTTAAACGATAAAGTTAGTAATTAAATCGTATGATAAAATAAAACGCATTTTATTCTGTGACATTATCTGAAGTTTTTTTTTAAATTAAATCAGAAAAAATTTACATTTAGAAAATATGTAATTTTTATTATTTTATGTAAAAGTTCATATCACGCTGTACATATTTACCATTGCCATTCCTCCCACGTACTTTTTATAATGCAAATAATTTCCACTTCAAAAAAGATTACGCGGTTCTTGAAAAACGATAAATAGAACGATAATGATAAAAGTAATAATCAAATTGTAACAAAATATAACAAAATAAAACGCATTTTGCTGCAAAATTATTTAAAATTTTTTAAAAATTATATCAAGAAAGATTTACAGGTAAAAAATATGAAATTTGTATTTTTTTATATAAAATTTTCCACATTGTATATTCGCCATTCCTTCCACGTACTTTTTGTAATGCAGATCGATAATTTCCACTTCAGAAAAGATCGCGCGATTCTCGAAAAATGATGATAAGTAGGACGATTTAGGGATGAGAAGCTTCAGATCTCCTTCATAGAACGGATCCTCAGTGCATATCGATCATTTCTGTTTTCGTAACCTTTCAGATGGGAAAGGATCGAGTAAACCTGCTCAGCGAATTGTGGATATTTGCTTCCAGCATTCGGTTTTCAACTACATTTTGTTTTTATTCCCGAGCTATCGATGCACGTCGTATCGTGCAAAAAATATCGTATCGACATTGCGTATTATCGGGGCTCAACGTGTAACAGTTGTATATGGGCCACTATTTTCCGATGTACAACGACTAACTAAATTCATTTGCAACTGCATGAAACAATTTAGCGAGGTATAAAAAGTGTAGTAATTCAGTTACATATGTGCGGAAAAATGATATTACAGCATTGTGTCGCAACATTAATTGACGTACGAGTTTGGCATAGCATACACCTTTGAATTTCAAAGTTTGAAATATAAATCAATTTTTTAATATTTAAAATATCTAAAAATTAAAAATCCGTAAATTCAATGAAACTATGATGATCAAAGATATAAATGTTTAGAGAATCAATATTTTAATTTGAATATTTATCTATACGCAAAAATTTTAACAATGAGGAATATAAAAAATATTTGAACACATAAAATGTCTAGAGACATTTTAATTTAACCTACATTGATAAAAGAATTTTAATATCCACTAGAAAATAAAAATATTTAATTATTCATTTAAATTTCTATTTTATTATTCTATTCTCAAATTTTTCTACAATTTAATACAAATTTTCCTTTACTAGCCTTATTTTTATCTTGTTCAATTATCCGCACATTATTAGTCTTAAGAAGTAGTTAATTGCTTCTTAACCGATTCGCACAGGAAGGTATAAACTGTAAAAGTTGTAGGTCCGATAGTTTATCGTTCCCTCATATACAGTCACTCGCTGCTAATCGCGTGGTTTACGGGCCCCAAAGTCATTCCGTGTAAAACTCGAATGCAGTTTGTGTGCAGTTTCCGTTTCCATCGTGATGAGTGGAAACTTTGGTCAGGTTTCTCTCCGTTCCGGTGCCACCATTCTCGTGCGGTAGTGTAACCGTTCGCTTTAAAACGCTGGGGTTTGTTTTAAACTTCATTGCGATTTTCTTCGAGTCTCAACGCGCGCGAGACTAATTCTTCGTCCGCTTCTTCGTTTAGCTCTCTTCGTGCGAGAGAGCCATAATTTTCAAGAACTACTTAAAGCTGCCTTAGACAGGCGAGCCTGAAAACTTTTCCTAACGACACAACAATCACGAGAACTCCCACCGCGACATTGATGCTGATATGTAATAAAGATTCGTGCTTCCATTAGGCGATTAAAATTAGGAAGAATTTTCTGAAGTTTCTTTCATATAGATAACTTTACCCTTACATTATATCAAATGACAGTTCATTTAATCGTTTAATGTTTCTTCCTATAAGCTTTGAAATGTAAGACGACATCAGTTAATTGTTCTATAATAATTTATATAGCCTCAACATTCGTCATATCAAGGATACGAGGACATATCGTATGTCTGAACCAATCGCACGAGTAAATAATTTACGAGGCGATCACTCGAGTTGTCAAAGGTACAGGTGAGTAATGGCGGAAGTACTCACGGGAGATAGGATCCACGTTATCGAGCTTCCTGTCGGAGACGACATTCTCATGAGCGGCTTCCTTGCTCGTCCTTGGACGACATCCAGCGGCAGGGTTTGTCTCGTTGCTATTAGTGACTCCTTCCTGGTTTTTATGCTCGTTTCGGTGGTCGTTTCTCTCATTCGGCTTGCAGGCACCGCCGCCAATTCCGACCTTCGACGATGGCTTGCAGCTGATGCCTCCCGGGTTCCCATTAATGTTCGTGTTAATGTTGATGTTGCTATTGCCGTTGGTCGATACGTGATTGTCGGCCTAAATGGCACACAAATCGATCGTAAATTGTGGTCTCCCACCGGTATTTTTAGACTATTTTAGTTATTTTATTGGTCATGAAAACCAAATAGAATGTAATGCAAAGATAATATAACTGGTAAATTTATTTTAGAATATTAGGAAGTCTAACTTGTCAGCATAAAAAAATGAGAATATTCTTTCTGTAATCTTTTCTATAATCTTAACCCTTTATTACTCGAATGAGGTTCCACGACATTCTAGAATTATAAATTCGCTAAATGCTATTTATATACGTTATTATATTTAGCGCAAATTATTTCACAATTAAAAAAAATTGCATTTATCTTTATCTAAAGAAAGTATAGAAATAGAATATTATCAATCTTTATTTAATTCCAAATTATTAAGGAGAACAATGAAAATTGATATATAATATTAGGACGTCAGAAACATCTCACGCGAGTAATTACGTTAAAAGGAATCAGACGAGTAGAATTAATAAGAGAAATTAAAAGCTATATTAAAAATAGATAGATATATATATATATATATATATATATATATATAAAAGTAATGCATTAATGTTTTACATGTTACTTGATCTTCTTATAATTGTAAAAAACAATTGTATTGTTGTTAGAAAAAATGAGCAATAACGTAAAAATTGCGTGAAATCGCGACACTGAATTGTGGCAGAACGTCCTTCGCGACGAGGAGTGATCTATCCTCTTTAACCCTTTACATCGGAACGAGGCGAGGCTCGTGGTACCACCTGCCACCCATTCCCAGCTATAATTGAAGTTGTCTCGTTTCGTATTGTAAAGCTATATAGGCGGCAGAGTTTTTTTTCTCGCGAGTTGCACCGGCTGGAAAGGCAAGTCTTTTATTCCGTAAGCACTTCGTTACGAGACTAACTCGGGATATTTCCCAAAGACATCTATTCTACGCCTCCGACGGAGGAAAAGAGATAACCTGTCTCGCACTTTCTTCCTCCGCATTCAGCGATCATTTGACCTTTTACCGCCAACACGTTTTTAGCAAGAACTTTCCTAATATGACTTTCACGTTTAACGCGGTAGTTAAATTGAAGTAACATCGGCAGACAATTTACCAGATAACAGCTCACGAATGAGAATTAATTAACCGATTTGCAGTCCCATATCGGATATCTACATTGCAATAACATCGTAATAATGCCATTTCATATTTAATATAAAGTTCTAAATAATATTCTTGCCGAGAAACGCGATCGAGTGTTTATTAGTGATAATCTGCAAAATAAAAATTTCTAAACACAGTTTCAGACTGCGAGTTTCTACTCAAAGGTTTCAGATTAATCTCTGTAATTCTATGCTACGATTTGTTTTCTCGCAAACGCTAACTCGCAAAAGTAAAACGGACGCTAACATAACGGATTCAATTTCCAAGTTAGTTAGCGTATAACCAGAATCTATGTTATAACAGACTAGTAATATAAAGCAAACATGGGCAACGGTCCCTGAACAAGGTAAATCAACCCCACAACGGTTTTACAACTTGCGGTTCGTCGATTAAGCACGTGTAAAGGTCGAGCGTCGTTCTCACCGAACTCGTCATGCAGGTGGACGAAGTAGATGAGCGCACCACGACTATCCTGTTTTGATTGTGATCATTGGAGGCGATCGTGGAGACGGCGGCGTGATTGACCAAGGCGTGGGTATCATTAGTACCCGTTGGGCTGGAGTTGACATTGCCGGTGGTGGCGACGCCGCCGCCACCCAGGGAGGTCTGTCTGATGACCAGGACACTGCCCGCTGGCTCCAGCACGACTACCTGTCTCATCCTCGTCGCGCAGTTCCTTGCCGGTCTGTCCTCGCCGAATGCGAGAGAGTGCACTCTCTTCCCGTCTGCTCGTCGACGACGACGACGGCGGCGACAACGTTAAGCGTGTCGTTCTCCAGCACGACACGTTCTCCGGCTCTTAAAGCTCCCACTCGTCCGCTGCCGCCTGCTCCTCCTGCGCACACAAACACATCCAGGCTGATATTAAAGCTGTCGTTTTAGGGGATGATCCTACCCGCCCGCGCCCACACCCACCGCCACCCCGGCGCGGATCTACACGCCCGCTTTCGTTCGTAACCGCGCGAGCCCGACCGTACCGGCGTGGCTTCTTCCGGAAGGCGAATCGATGGGATTATTTCTGCCGACACCGTCGACGTGCGGCTCGACGACTCTCTGCCTCTCTTTCAATAAAGCAGCTCTCGCGGTACACCACTTCGGTATCAAAGTAGCAGGCATGTGCGCGGTTTAAACTAAGGTTGGGTCCAGAAGCTACCAGCTTTTAGATAATGGCCCATTGCACATTCAATGCTCTAATGTGCCCCGCTTTTTCACCGAGGGTTCATATTTGTACCGGGAGATCGATTTTGTCTAAGAAATTTAATTGAGAGACTTTTATCATCACTGGATGACTTTATTACGAAAGAAAGATTAATTTGTATTAAATCCCCATATATAAGAAAGAAAAAATGTTTTAATCAAATTCAATTAATGATTGAAATAATTGTTTACTTCTACATTTAAAAGAATTATGTCACACTAATATATTTGTCGCAGTAATGAATTGATACATTTCTTTCGAAAGTATAAAGTGTAAACAGCGAAGGGGGAGGGTCTGAAATATTTTTAGGTATGTTTATGGTACGGATTGGTGAAATATATCTTATGCTGACCTCGGTTTTATTGCAATCTAAAGATCTGATCATCCCAGTTTAAAGCCCAGGACGATTTTCTCATTTTCTCGGCTCGCCGGAGCGAAGGAATTTGTTTTCGAGATCTCTGAGCTCATAGCAACAGGAGATCTCGAAGGAATCGCTTAAAATTGAATGGATTTTGTTCAGAACCATTTGTGACCGTGCCGTGATACTCTGTGATACGTCATGAAATAAAAAGAAGGAAAAATTTGTGGAACTCGAACTGCTAGTGAAACAAGATATTTGATATATATCTATATATAAAATTTATTTTTATAGTTCCTGAATTTTTCAAGAAAAGAATGAAATAAATTCAATTTAATTTATATACAGAATGTCTAAGTTTTTACCAAGCGCTTTTATGTAGATAGAGCGGATTAAACTGAACGAAAAGTCCTCTACTAATTTGCAATTTTCGCAATGGTTTATGACATATTAATTACTAAAAATCACTGAATATTAGTTTTCAATAATTTTTTACTCAAATACTATCAACTTTACAAAAAAACAGCGAGAGACAAAAATTATTTCTTATATTATATTTTCTTTATAATTATATATTTTCTTTTCTAATAAAGTTCTAAGAATTTTTAGAATTTTTTAATACCGTATTTTCTCATGTTAATAAAAGTAAAAAAATGCAGTACTAAAAAGTTGATAAAAAATTCTAAAAAAATTCTTAGAGTTCTATGAGAAGAGAATAAATGATTTTCGTCTCTTGCAGTTTTTTTTGTAAAGTTAATAGTATTTGAGTAAAAAATTATTCAAGACCAAAATTCGGCAAATCTTAGTAATTAATATCTTGTTAACTATTGAGATTATTTAAATATAATCTTTAATAATAATAAATCTTAAAGTTATAATCTTATAAAGAATTCATGCATTAGAAATGTGCATTTTCACAATGCTGATTCTTGTTTGTATGTAATAAGAAACAAACCTTCTTTAAGCACTTGAAACTATTCCAAACTATTATTGTATTAGTAATTTGATAAAAAAGGTAATAAAAGTGTCTCTCATATATTCAAAGTGTGCGTGAGTTAGAGAATTCGTCTTATTTAATTAATTCTTATGGCGAAAATGCGTTTCGATCCATTAGCTCAGAATAGAAAATAAAATAAAAATTATTGAGGAATTATCTGGCAAATTTCCAGATTTATTTCAGCACACGATAGTTTTCACGTGTGAAACAGCCAGATTGTTCATCTTCGTAGACTCCGTGGGATTACTTATTAGGTTGGCATGCATAGTCATAAATGCATTTCTTGGCCGCTACTGTCATGAATTTACTCGGCAAACAAAAGTACATCATTGCCAATTTTCACGTACAAAATTTTAGCGACTTAGAAAAAAAATCCAGTCCTAGCAAAAAGCAACAAAACTAAACAAATTTATCATCTTTCATACATTGTTCAAATTTTATATTATAGAAATTACAGATTATTATATAAATAATTATTAATATAAACATTTTTATAAATTAATATAATATTATTAATCTAGTCTAAACAATTATTATTATTATTATAAATAATTATTACTATGAATAATTTTTATTTGATCAGCGCAACATTTCTGTGCAAAACTATATACGTGCTTAACTTTCGATAGGGTAAAAATTACTGAAATAATTAAAAATGATCGGCAATAAGGAATCGGCGCACGATTAAAAAAAAAATAAATTAGACGTCATTCGTTTTATTTCAAACCTTTTCAGAAATAGTAACCCCATGCAATACTCTGATACTGACATAATCCGTCAAGCGTTTCAGCCGCGATGACGCGCGGCTTCGTCACGTACGATCCATGATAAACGCACGTCGTGTATTTTAGTAAGAATTAATGTCATTCGCTTGGCGTGCCTTCAATAGGCATTAAATATACAGGGTGAATGTTAAAGGCGAGTAAATATCGCGGTCATTCATGTATGGAGCCGTATCGAGCGCGCGCGTAGCGGATATCTGCCGGTACAACGGCACGTGCAATAATAATAGAACCGTCGCGTCGCCGGTGCATTCACACGCGGAGGATGTCCGTTCGTTACTATCCTGTACACGTTAAGCAAACAATTTACTGTCTAGACTTACGTATCTGTTCCGATTGTCGTAAGATTAGATTTCTAGTTTTAATAGGTTGACTTTGTCGTTTCATTCACGAATGAAACTGAGTTAAGTAACTCCGATCGCGCAGTCACTGTCATGACGATCGAGTGAGGAATGCTGGAGACTCGCCGATATACAATTCGAAGAAAACGTCGTGAAAAAATTTTGGCTCGCTACTTAAAAAAGATTATTTTCAGATCTGTATCCAGCTAAATGTTTAGATATTTCAACAAAATCATTCTTTCCACGTTTATAGATACAAAAAAATTTTTCAGTACGCGATAGTTTTTACGTGTGAAACAGTAAAATTGTTCAACTTTGTAGAAAAACTTTTTTCTTTGTTAGTCAGCGTTTTTTAGTTAATAAAAGACTAAATTTGGATTTGCATAATGTCTTTAGTCTTATTTTTTGTGGATTTTTAATAAAATCATTGTATAAAACAATCAACGAAAAAGCAATGATAAAGCCATTCTTTTTCGTGCAATTAAGTACACTAATTGAAAGAGAAAAATGTTTTGATACTTTTGTGATTATAATTATATAGAATAATAATGATGGAAGCATCATTTTTATTGCTGTAATGTTAATAATAATAATTATATTTATAATTCTGCCAAAAAATATATAGTTGACACTGAAAATGACAATAAATTATAGTTAACATTGCAAATCCAGTGACTTTATATACGTGCGTGATTTAGTTATCCGTATAAAAATAATACTATACTCTCTGTATACAAAAATGGATTTACATATTTAAACATGTAAACATAGTGTTATATTTACAGTGAAACCTACACATATATGAAGAATTATATCTTATTATATACTTGGAAAAAAATTGATAATTGCAAAAATATTTTTTTCTCGTAATATAAATGATACTTAGATGGCTCTTTTATAGACTTATCAAATTAAAAATCACATGTTCAGGCAGTCCGCTGCTATTACGTATATGAATGCATTGTTATTAAATTATCTCTAAAAAATTTTCTGTTGTGGATTGAACTATTCTCTAACATGAGTAAAATTAAATGCATCTGTTAATACACACTGTGGATTATACTTATGTCACTTCTAATCCTTAGTCGCGTTGTGTATGTCACGTGTAATCCCAGGGATTTATGGCCATGCTTTTCATAAGTTAAATTAATATTAAAGATGATTAAAGCATTGTGTAAAAAAAATGATGGGATATAAAAATTACATGAAAGAAAATAAAATTTCATGTTAAGAAACAACGTCGTATATGTTGCTGGAAAAGCAGATTCGCTCTTTAGCTTGATTAAATTCATCTATATTACAAAAGCTCTACAGGAATAATTTTCTCTTCGCTAATGCCTCTTCGCGTGGAATAAAATCTAACATATCAAAAATGACGTGAATGAGAAAGAACACCAGCCAATGAATAAAATCTAACGATGTCAATAATGATGTATAAATAAAGAGAAAACTAAATGCGACACATTTCTCTCATCGCTTTAGGAACGGATGTAAAATTCTTTAGACCGCCATGCACTGCCAGCTTCGTGCTGATATCGTTAACTAGAAAATCGCATATAGGTTACTACGCGTTCAGATCGATCGATCTCCAGGTACCCATATGTTGCGCACGTCTTCCAAAAGCGAAACCGCCGCGTTATAGGGATCGTCGTTTGACGTTTATGAAGCACGATATTAAAGAACGCGTGCGAGAGTAGCAAGCTAAAAAAAACTGAAAAGATCGACTAGAAAATTTTCGATCAAACTTCGAGCATCACTCCACAGAGAATTTTCTCTCATTAATCATTTGAAGAATTTCATTTGATAAATCCTTCCTTACCAATCTATTAAGAAATTTCACGTCATAAACTTTTTATGTAAGGCGAAATAATAGAAAATGGAGAAAATTGAAAAAGTATTACGACAAAATAATTTTCTAATGGTGAACTATATATATATACTTGTATTTTTATTAAAACTTTAATAATTATTTAACGATAATAAATTTCTTTTAACTTCTCGGAGCTGACAGTGAATCTATTGGATCACTGCAATTACACTTTTTATGTTATATTTGCAAATTTGAATTCTTCTTATTAAAATAAACTTAGTATTCACACATACACACACATATTTTTATGTCATTTTGGTTCTTTATCTTGAAATTAATTAGTGCCTTTTAGTCATAAATTAAATAGATTTTGCAGAATCCAGCGTCAGTAACTGTGTCACAAATTTTGACGTCGTTCCGGAAGATTAATTACTTTATATAATAACTATTAAATACGCATTTAACGCATTAATTATTAAATACGTATTTTAAAAACTCTATTTTATCTTATTCACTTTAAAACATCGATTTTGTTATCAAAATTTTAAAAAGAAATACTTTAATATGTTGCTTTAAAATATTTAAATATTAGATATGCATTACGCAGAGAGTATAATCAACAACTGAGAATGTTACCTTTGATGCATTATATTCGAGAATGAACGTCAGTTTCTAAACAGTTAGTTAGGAATCTGAAATGTACCAAAGTGATGTTCCTATGCACGTTCCTAGTTATGCTAGTTGCTATTATCATTTTCGAACATGCTATTAGAATCCTCAGCGGTAGGAAACGCACGTCACTCTTGATAACAGCTGATTACGATAAATTCATCGAGATAACGAGTCCAGTTTGACAATACAAAATACCTTGATATTATATCGACGTTATATCAATATTGCAAAGTCATTGAACTTTTCCTCTTGCTTAAAAATAATTAAATGGACACATATTCAATTGTATATTTAAAACTCGTTACTTTCTTTCTATGAGAATTAAAAACTTGTTACATGAAAGTTAACTACTAAATAAGTTTCTCATTTCCAGCCATCTCTCGCATCGATTCGAGAGTCTTTGCTCAGTAAGAAGACTTGAGAAAAGAAGTTCTTGCTTCAATAAGTCAAGGCAGAGTAAGACCAAGGGATTAACCTTGTGCTCTGAAAATATTATCTTTCACGAGGGTCTTGCAATCCTTAAGGGATGTATCTACAACACGCGCTGCTGTCAGAGAAGATTACGTCGCGTCCACGTTAACATTCATGACGTTTGCATTATGAGAGGGAAGAACAGAGATTAAAGAAATTAATTATTGCCAAATTGCCAGGTTTTAGCACAGGAAGTTAACAGAAAAAGAAAGAAGAATAAAAGCATAAACTAAATCCAAATTGCCACCAAAATGAATTATTTCTACGTTTATTTGCGACCGAGATATTTAAAGATCGAATAACTCTTGAGATTCCCAGCATAATTAAATATGGAACAGTTAATGTGATAACATACGTCCTGTTCTATAAATATAACATATTATACGTAAAATACATACAAATATTTTCAAAAAAAAGAAATTATTTCATAGACACTATAACGGAAGCTTACAAAACCTAAACTCAATTTATCTCCAGCTTAATCTGCTCCTGGGACAATAAAAATACGATAATTTATTTAAATTTATTTTTCATATAGCTACTGTCTCGAAAACTAAATTTATTACACGGGCGATAAGATATTGAACTTACACGCGAAACTCTTTTGAAGCGCAAGCATGACTCCGACTTTTTCCGACAGGAATTATCTTTTAAAAATATTACTCGCCCTTGAAAGATAAAACCCATGCAAAATCATATAAAATTTGCGGAATATTGTTATTGTATCCTGCAGTCAATGCAATAACAAAGCTCGTTATCAAACATTTTAATGATGTTTTCAATTTATACAATTTTAATTAGAGAGCAAACGATTAAAATTAATGTTCATGTGAATTAATCTTTAAATAGAGAAATTTGTTTATTATATACGTTTGCAAAAGTTGAGTTCACTTTTAGTTTCCAATTAGAAAAACACTAAAGCTTTTAATTTAAAATATCTGTATATTTAAAAAATTGAAAGCAATTAAAAAAAAGTGAGAGCAAAAAATGTTATATTTACAACATTGGCTGACAGCAGTCTAATTGAAAATTGAATCTTCTTAATTCAATAAGAAATAAAAGTTTGTAAATTCAATCTTAATTCAATGATGTAATTAAAATAAATACATGCTCTTATGCTCTTATTTAATAAAATATTATTTATTTTATTAATCTTCATAGACATTATAGTGGCGCTGAAATAGTGTTATACTTGGCAAAGAATACAATGAAATGAACTATTTACTACACAAAGAATACAATGAAATGAAATACAACAAATCTTATTCAAGCATACAAAAAGAAAAGCTGTAAGATACTTTAAAAATGGACTCTGCCCTCTAAAAGTTAAAATATATTGAATTAACAAGAGATTCTATTTTCTAATTTCACTGTCGTCGACTAATGTTACTCATCATTTTTCTTCCATACAGGAATATATTATAAACGAAGTTAGAGCATGAAACACAGTGTCGCATAAATAAATTCTCGATTAGCAAAACCTGTTTTTCTCTGATTATTCTCCCATCGATCGAAGTCTCAGGAATCTAGCACGCTACAAAGAAATGTTCACGTTCGACGGTCCACCAACGACGTTCCCGCCAAAAATTCACGCCGTCGACGATGAACGTGTAACACCCGCGTCCTGGAACATCCGTCTCGAATCCACCAATATGATCCATATGGTTCGCCGCACGTGCCCGCGCGGACAAAACGCAAGATTCTTTCTTCGCGGGCGGCAGCAGGCCGTGGGTTTACGATATGCTCTAAAAATAGCGACGACCATAAAGCCGCCACGCGGACGGGCGAAGCCATGAACACGACGGCGACGTCGCGGCGACACGCACACGCTCGCCCAAGGAGCGCACCGAGCCGAGAGAAAATCGAAATGACTTTATTTTAACGTCGTAAAAGTCAAGATAAAATAAAGTTACTTTGATTTTTCGTTGACTTTTATACGTTCATTCTATGGGGCGTAATTCCTCCGTGCAGTCTCGATAGGCGCGCACTCGATTCTCTGTACATCCCCCATTCTTCGTATTTAGCGACTCTCTATTTATCAGAGGGTGGTGACATTCTAGAGGATTTGATAACGCGTGAAAAAGAAAAAAAAAAGAGAAATAAAAGCGATATGTAACAGAGGATACTCACGGGATCCGTGCTCCGAATGAGAACAGAAGGCCCGTCACCGATGAAGGTAATCATTTCGGCACGCCGCGCTTCCCGATACGCGGTGTTGGTGCGACTCTCTCGGGCGTCTCTCCCAGCAGCTCGTTCACCAACGGCGACGACGGCACCTTCCTCCGCGCGACGGTACCGCGACGCTCATGATCGACGACGACGACGACGACGACGAAGATGGCAGTCTTGTCCGATTGTGCTTCCTCGTGCACGCCTCGGACACCGTCCGTCGGCTCGGCGTGCGTACGTGCGTACGTGCGTGCGTGCGTGGGTGCGTGCGTGCGTGCGTGCGATGCGCGACACTCTCACGCAGGGAATCGCGCGATCACGCGTGCCCGCGGTGGCCGCGGTCGATCCTCGGAATCCATGACAGGTATACGTGCGACACGTATACGTTGTATGTGAACGGAGCGGAGCGGTGCGAGGCGAGCGTGAATCGCATGCGCCGCTTCAAGGTAAGAATCGTCGCGCTCTGTGCCGTCGCGGATGCGCCAGGGCGGACGTAGACGAGAAACCTCGCTGGCGGAAATTCAAAGCGTTTCCCGCCAAGTTTCCGTGGAATAGAAGGCGATGACGTTATCGCGCGCTGTAAACGTAAACGTCGGAGCACTCCATATAGCAGAGATCATTTCAGCAATATTGTACCAAGATTGCAACGTTTCAGTAATATTACTGTAATATTGCAAATGTTATTGTAAGCTTCTGTGCTGTACGGTATGTAACCGAAGTGTCTCGTATCCCTGGTGAAAATAAAAAACGTAAGTCTAATGGAAGAGTAACAGAAGCGTAAATGAAGTTTCTAGGAAGCGAAAATTGAAATAATGAAACGTAAAACAAACGTTTACGCTTCTATTATTCTCGCATTACATTCGACTTACGCTCTGATTTTTATTTTCATCAGGGATATGATCAGTGTTCAGGAGTGTTGTCCAATATTTGTAATTGTGTTCTATCGTTTTTCTTTTTCTTAAAGGAGATAAAAGTAGAAAGCAATAAACTTGAATTATGATGCAAAGATATTCTTACACTGGCCTGAAAACACATCGCCGACACACGTCAAGTCAATGCCTAGAATTACAAATCTTGGACAGCACTACTAGATCTTTTTAGTTAAATTTCTTGCAATGTGGAGAAAGAAAAAGAAAATTGTTCACCTGTCGCATGACAAACAATGCGCAACATATTGCCCATGGTATTTCTCAGGAGTCTAAAACGGCCATGAATTATGTTGAAAAATGTCGCGCTATCTAATCAAGATCACAATTATTCGAAGAAAAAATTCGTTCCGAAAACAAAATTGACGAAACAGAAGAAAGCGAGAGTACAACCGTCACTACCTGACTAGTTAATAATCCATTATCTCATGACTTACAAAATTTTCTATTCTAAGATTAACACTTTTTTAACGTCTAACGTTTCAAGGCGTCGCCTTGTTTAAAATGTCCGATATACTGCTCCGGCGAGAAGTCGCGCGCGTATCGATATTCATTCGATATTTCGAGAATAGCAAGTAGCGCGCATTTCAAAATCAATTTTTGAAAGTTCAAATTTTTTTTATACTTATTTTAAATTTTTTTTAAGACATAAACAATTCCGCATCTCATCGATCACCTTAAAAATATTTTCTGCATCTAAAGTCATAAATAATCACCGATTAAAGGTGAGCATTTTACATTGACTGCTTTTATATTTATTGCGTTCTTATCCTGAATAGCTTTATTTTTCTTTTTTAGCTAAACTTCTCGCACGGTTCATCTTTCTCTTATTTTTCTTTTCATGTTAGAGAAAAAAAAGAGGAAAAGATGAACTGCGCAACAAGTTCAATTAACAAAAAAAAACAAACTTTTAGATGCTATAGTCGGCTCAAATAACACACATTGATTATAAAACGTTAAAAAAGCGCTAAAGAGTGTATATAAGTGTTTTTTTTATGCTTTGCAGGCACTGTTATGTTACTTAGATCTTCAATATAAAATCTAATTTCTAACTAAATTACATTTTATCGATTTTGTATACGTTGAGTCACAAGTTAATTTTGTTGCACGTAATACTGAAGATACTTTGAAGCTTAATGAAAAAGAACAGACCTTTATTATTCTATAGCTCTTCAATGTATAATCTAATTTCTAAGTAAATTATATTTTATTGATTTTGCATTCTTTGTGTCACAAATTAATTTTGTTGCACGTAATACTGAGGATAATAATTTAAAGAAAGCAGGATAATTAAATTTAACGCATAATTTATTTTACACATATATTTCATTACGCATTCGAGCGTTCTTTTAGAGAGATGAAATCAATCACGCTCGTACAATCGATCGATGCTTCTTTCTACTCTTATTCTCATGCACGGCTAACAGGTTAAAAGCATTCTACATTTCATTGAGCGCATCACAAGCTTGTACCGAATGATCCCTAGTACACAGGGTTTGGTCAGTTCCGCTCAAACTTCAGTAAGAGGCCGTAACTTCATACATTGTTACACAAAAAATGAATAATTATCATTTGCGTATATAGATATATATTAATACAGAAATTCACAATGTGCTCCGAAAAAAACATTCGTTATATAATAATCCTACAAATATATTTATATTTCTTGAATATAGATTATCCTCATAACTGTATTAATTCCAGATGCGCGAATCGATTTTTTAATTACTTAGATTGTGATGCTAAAAACTTATAATGATCATTTCGGCGTAAAAACGAAGCAAAAGAAAATACAAATCTTATTAAATGATTCAAGTAAATATATATATATATATAAACAATTCATGATTATATCTAATTATCGTCATCTTCAATAACAAATTTTCCATTTCAAAAAATCTTATTAACAAAATCTGATTATAGCTCATACTATCCACCACGCATGGTGTGATATTACGACTAAGAATCGATGTGAATAAAATGGACGACTGAAAAATTGGCACGAAGGAAATAATCCGCCTGGTACCGATTATCATGATATATTCCGTTCAACATCTTTTCACACAAGAGGGAATCTAGTTTTATTTTTCCGTTTGAAAATTTTCTCCTAATACACCATCGCATTTTTTCCTAATAAATGAAAATGAGAACGTCACTCTTGCTAGTACGCTATATAATATACAAAAAAAAATTTCCTACAATTACACAGAAATTTTGTGCTGATAATTCTTCTTTCGATACATTTTCCATCGCTACGTATCGTGCACGATTAGGAATTAACCATCCGAACGATTGTTGAATTTCAAATCGTCGCTTCAAATATGCGCTACAATGAAATAATAACGAGAAATAGCCAATATCAATACTCGCAGTCGTGACTTCTGCAATGAGATTACTTCTTTACAATTATTTATGCCTCAATATCGAGATTCGGAATCATTAACACCGCGTCTCGTATAAGCCGCTGCGGCCAATGTAACGAACCCATTTTATCACATCATGATCCGAGTAATTCAATTTGGACTCAAAAACTTTCAAGTAGCGCACCTTGAAGCCAGACGGCGCAAATGGCACTTCAAAATTCATTGATATCGGCGGTCTCGTCCATTTCTTCTTCGTGTCCGTCTCTAATAGATCGATCTCGGCGGACAACTGCGTCTCCTTCATGCCAGCCATGCGCTTGATCTTCCAAACAATCGCGTTCTCCGATGCTTTGTATTTCGCCTTACCCTTCAAACATATCAGTTGTACACCGGCAGTGTTTAACGGCGTCGGTACGCGCACTTCTATCTTCTGTCCCAGCAACGAGGGCTTAAAGTTTGATTTCAGAACCGCTTTAACTTCCATTTTCGTTCGGCCCACCTCGCGTACTAATGGTATTACGCGGAAAGGCAATGATATATCCTTCGTAGTACGGTATCTGTAAATAAAAATAATTTTTATATCTACGATTATTTTCGTGATCAAAAATAATTACACATAAATTCTTTGACAGAGCTAGCTAAATCAAATTTAATTTGCAATAAAAATTTTATTATAATTAATATATTAAAGTTCATGTCTCACCTCATCAGCTCGAATTCACCATCCGGTGGTATAAAACTAATGGAATGTTCGGTCTCGAATTTACTAAGCTTAACGCACTGATGAAATTGGCAGTCGTCAATAACAACAACCGGTTTGCCGGATCTAGCTCCAGTGGGATCATCACCGCCACCTCCTAATCCGCCGCTTCCTTTCATGCCCTTAGCCTCCATAACAATCTTGTCATTAATCCCAAATTTACATTCTGGCATACCAGATAAATAGGATTTCATTACCACCTAAAAAATAATTTTTTATCAGGAATTTGTGAAAACTCCGCTGAATTATTTTATTTTCTTTAGAGAATTTACCTTTCCAGCAACATGTGCACTAAGAACCTGACCCTGAGGGCTCATCAATAGATTCACATATTCAAGTACATCCAAAAAGAGCTCATTACGTCTGTACTTAATGCCCTCTCGCCTCCATCCGATTTGACCTGTGACTTGCGATGTTATCTGAGCTTGTTCTTCCTTGGTAGCTGATTTCACTCCTTGTTGAGTGATAAATGTCTTCAACACGCCCGTATCACAGTTCTGTGGATATCCAAAGTCAAGTATCTCTGTAAAAAAAAGATCAATAAAGTTCCAAAAAAGGAAAAAGCCACATAATATAATTATTAAAATATCAAACTTTAATACTGACCATCGAGCAGCTCGTAAATAAGCACGAAATTATTCTTGATGTTCTCTTCTGAAATCTTGCCAAAATACGATTGCATAACATCTATGATCTTCAGCAGCAGCTCGAATACCATCGCTGCGTTAACATTTTGTTTAGTGACAGCAGCTAACCAAATGTTAGCGCGTTTTATATGGAAAAACGATGTTCTGGCAATGTTGGTTACAGGTGAGCGCACTTGCTGCCGCGCATGGATAACATTGACACGAAATGCATCCACTGCGTTACGGCCAATATCATCCCGATATACTCGGGAGATGAGTACCTCTCCTTTATGGTTGTAAACAAATAGACCCCCTATCATCTTGACAGAGGGTAGAGCTAGCTTTTTGAGTCAAGATCAATCTGCAATAAAAATTATTATAATATATTATAATTCTTACTAAGTACATGACAACAAATTCAGTACAACAAAAATCCCAATTAGAGCCAAGTTTGCTTGTAAAGACTTTGCAAAATATCCGCTGATAAATTTTATCTGGTCTATTATATCAGATGTAACAAAATGTTATAAAAAATATATAAATATATTTCTACATGGTTTAACAGCAGATTAGTAGAAACTAACCAAATTACTAGAAACTGAACAGTTTGACAAATTAGCAGCAGAAATCAAACAGATTACGTTTGACAGATTCTGCTCGATTTCTGACACTGAATTGCCATCAAATTATGTTCATGATATAAGAATCATGGTTATGTCAACAGAAGACACAACTTAATGGAATACAGATTCTACTGCATTTTTCAGATTTAATTTGCTGCCAATCTGCTAGCACTCTGCAGACAGTTTGCTTACTGGATTTCTAAGTTTCAACTTAGTTTTCAAGGAATAAATCTACAAATCTGTAATACAGAATTACTAAAGTGATTCCAAACTTCTACTAGGAAACTTGGTAAAATCAATAAAGCATCCCTAAACATAGTTCCAAAAATAACTCGGCACTACAATCACATATAAAGTAAAATAAATCAAATAAACAGTAATCTGGGATTCCTTTACTGATAAGAAACGTCTTCGACGCTCAGCGAGTGGTTCTGAATTAGAAAACGATAAAAAGAATTCGTAATACGTGCGGCTCGTGAAAGCGTGTACGCATCATGAAAAAATTCATTGGGACACTGTAACGACAGATAAAACGCCCCATTTGTCAAATGACACTTGGAACCGTCCATCCGTTCAGTATGTCTTGCGAACGGGTAGTATTATCGATCGTACGTGGACCCCCGCCTAACCCTTCGCGTCCAAATCGCTGCCGCGCTCCTCGGGAAACCGGCGTCGAGGAACGCGGGCTGGAGCAGGCTGAAGTTTCACTTACACATGACTCCCACGGAGGGTGGCTCGCCGAGATTTCCTATCTGCGATTCCGCCCTCCCGTTAGATATAGCGCGATACTCTCGGCACTCTCTCACTGCAAGCTGATGGACGGTTGACGGCTGACGGAAGCAACACCCACTTTCCAAATTCTGATATCACGGATCGCCAACCGAGAACGCCACAGACGACGTGGACGAAACAGATTGAGACTGACTACGAGCTGGTCAATGAACGTAGGTTAGGTAGCGGTGCCACCTAGAGCCATGCTCGTTGTAATCGTCGCTGTCGATAAAACACGTCGTTTGAAGTGCGCGTTTATTTGCGCGAAATGAAATATTTACTTATTTACTTACGTATGTATACTTATTTATTTTATTTACTTTATTTATTTATATTTATATTTGTTATTCCTTACTTTACAAAGGATATTATAATATTTATGTATACAGGCTGTATCTGATAAAACGCTCAATAATCAAATGTAATCATATAATGCTATTCTTAATAAAAATAAACTGAGTCGACAAGTCCTCTATCATTTTGCAATTTTCGTAATAATTAATGAGATATTAATTTCTGAAGATTGCTGAACAAATGAATAAAGTTAATGTATAAGATAATTTTAAGATATCTTTCAGTGTTCTTTGTGAAATATTTTGAAGATGATACTTCTTAAAAAATTCTTAAAATTATATCGTCGATTTTGCTTATTTGGGTAACTAAACAAAAATATTGCAAAAATTGCAAAATGATAGAGGATTTTTCGACTTAGTTTTTTGTTATAGGAATAACACTGATTAGTGGACGTTATTTCAGATACACTCTGTATATTATAATATGCTTCTATTTTTCTGCTGCATGCTTCTAATATTTTTTAAATTACTTTATTCGTATAAATTTATTTACACATACTATATTTTTTGGAGTGTAATCTCACTTTAAAGAGTGAAAACTGAATCAGTCTTAAAAAAGAATGGCTCAAATTTCAATCTTTAAGAGTAAAATTTCACTTTTTAGAGATTCACTTTAAAATTTAAAGCATAAAGTAAGATAGAACAAAATTGTTATATTTGTTGAATGGATTATCACACGTTTACAATTAATAAAGAAATTGTATTTAACGAGTTTAAAAATTATAACGTATATTGTGATTATTTTATTTTGTTCTTGCTTTGAACTTGACACATTTGTAATAATTCCCTCGTAATTATTTCGGTCGTAAGACAAGCGTTTTGTTATTCTTCATTACGATTTGCTTACGTATTTTTCCGTTTGTAATAAGAAAAAATTGATTGTGAAACAGATTTTACGTTATACATTATATTTCTTAAGTTCTTTCGCATCGAGAACAAGATTTCAAGGTAATTCATGTCGAATGGCGTAATCCTCATTCTTGTTGAATCCATTGTCAATAAAGTATAACCCTAGCTGTTGAATTCAGAGTGAAATTCATTTCCGTTGTTTCCTCGTAATTTTCGAAGAAGTGTAGTCTCCGTTCTCCATTCAAGGCTGAAGTAAACAGTTCCTCGATGACGTCATAGCTCGTTATGTGTCTTCGACCTTGGCCGAGGACAATGGTAAACGCCGTTGTTTCTCAGAGATTTCGCGAGCTGTCCTCTTAGGTGATTCTTATGAATAAATTCTCTTCGTCGTTCGCAACAGGAATGCGGAACGCGCGTGGAATAACAGTCGCAGAGATATTTTGTCTCGAATATATTTTTATTATACATACATTAATGAAAATATATACATGGTAGACTGCAGCTTCTCGAAGCAGCGAAGTGTCAATATAATTAGCTACAGTATTCGCGATTCTGTTTCACCTGATTTCTTTTTTTTTTCATTTTTCTTTTCTTTTTCTTCTTTCTCGACGACATCCTCTCGATAGCCATCGAGATTGTCGGGAGGCACGTGTAGGCCGACACGTGTAGACCATGGATGCTGTTGTGTTGTACGCGAGAAATATTTTTTGGAGTTTTCGTTTATTTCTTAAAATTCATACAGCATAGACCTCCAGTGAATGTCCTAAAGACGTCCAGAAGGCGGTCCTAAAGATATTCTCGGAACGTCTTAAGAATATTCTTAGAATATGCTGAGGACGTTCCCAGAACATCCCTCAGATAAAGTATGCTGTGTGCCCAGCAAGTAAACTGACATTATTTGTCATCATTTTGATATGACGACAAATAACATCAGTTTGTTTGCTAGGCGGGAATAAATAGCTAATAACGGGCCGACCCGATCCGTTCCGAATCGTTCTCAGTATGTCGCGATTATTACGAGACTGATCGCGTCAATCCGTCGATACACGCAGCGGATACCGAGATACTTTCGCTGACTTCGATTAATATCTTTATCTCTTTCATGCTCTTTTTTCCTTTCTCACACATGCACCCTCTCGCCCTTTCATTCTTTACTCTCGCTCGCTCCTTTCTTTCTTCCTTCTTTCTTCTCATCCTATTCACAGCCTTCCTACTCAGACCCTAGTCAGCTTTCTCTCTTGCACAGCCAAACACTTGCACGATCACTCAGCGGCATCAACGCTTCGATCTCTTATCTTCTTAATTAACCGTTACAACACGATTCAACGGTGACAACTGCGGATTATTACAATTGATTAAACTGTAAGTGGCGATCATCGAAAGTGTGACGGTACTTCGTTCCCTCGTTCGCGAAAATTCAGACAGATTATCGCAAGTCTGAAGATCGTCCGAGCGAATCCCGCACATCCAAGTCAAAGGGATTCCCGACAAGGCTCTTCCGTCTCTCGCGGGCTGGTCGAAGTCGCAGGCTGACGCAACGCAATTAACCAACGGACATCCCGATTGACGACGGTTTATAGCGACTAATGTAACGTCTCCGCGAATCTCCTCCGGCCGATTGTCGTTGACACACATTACGATCTGCCGACTCGCCCGGATGCCGCGCTGCATTTTGGTTCAGCCAAACATATCGTTCTACGTTAGCGTTACAATCTGTCGCGCGCGGGAAAGCTCGCGTTCGACACGACTACATGGATTAGCTTCGTAACATTTCAGGCACTGCGATTGACTTTGTATTTTGAGTTTAGCTCGTGCATCGGACGATGATCAACCGTGGGAATCATTGGCAAAACTCTCTCACTTCTCACTCGTTTCGAGGTAGTGAAGCTGAAGTTGAATGCTTTCCAGCAAGAGACATAGATGACACATAGTGAATCATTACATCTGAATTGTCTGCCGATGTTAAACAAAGATGAAATAATTACTGTGTAGTACTGTATACTGTGAGTGCGTTCCGCACTTAACGTCCGCAACGCTCGCGTCATTTCATCCTTGTTTGACATTCGATTACAATGAGAATGATGCTCGCGAGCGTTGCGGATGTTAAGTAGAACGCACCCTGTGTCTCTTGTTGAAAATCCATTAATTTGTCGTCATTTTGATGTCAAATAATGTCACCTTGCTACCTAGGGAACATAAATCTCATTCCTAGACGCTACTAATGCATTTCTACTAATGAAGATTAATTTTAAAATTACTTCAACTTACTCTTCATCTTTTTCTAATTCTAAGAACTAGAAAAAAATCAAGAAGTTGAACCAAGATTTAAGTTAATCTATATTGGTGGAAATGAGCATAAAAGATATGTCCTTTTCAACTAAACTATGCTTTTCTTATATAGTTCATCTTTCTTCTTTTTCTTTCCACATTGGAAAAAAAGAAGGTGCGAATAGTTCAGCTAAAAAAAACGGGTCTACTTGATTCATCTGATGCGAAAGAGTTTTGTCTTCTCTTTTCAGATTCAATTCACGCGGTTGAATCCCTCGAGTGATCATAAGGAACAATTCCTAAATAGCAAGCTCCGAAGTAGAATACAAAAATTATAAGGACATCATTATCATCTTTATTTGTCTCATCACCGACTTATAACTCAAGCAGAATAAAAAGTCATTATGACATCAAAGTGGCTCCAAAATTATTAAAAGATTATTAAAAGTTATTTCTCGATCAGTCACAATTAATCTTAACATCATTTTAACATTAGTTAATCGTGACTTGTTGCTGTGCTTAGATTTATTCAAGCAAAACACAAATCAAAATGATTGTTAAGAGTTACTTTTCCATTACAACAATACATTTCAACTTTATTTTGATGTATCATAATTTGTTCTGCTTTCACAATCCATGCAGCACAGAAGTTTGCAACAACATTGCCGCAACGCGTGCAATATTGCTGAAACGGTGCAATGTTACTAGAATAATCTGTGCTGTATAGGAAATAAAGCCATGACATCCTTTATGACATCTGTTATGATTGTGTTCTACCTGGGCTGGCATTATTTGTCATCATTTTGACGTCAAAGCGACATTAAAGGCATCATTTTGACGTCAAAATGACATAGCTTGCTACCTGGGTTCCGTTCGGAGAGGTCGGAAGGAAAGTGCAAACGCTCATATACCGAGATTCGCGAGAGATCGAAAAGCCTTGCGGATAGCGCGCGTGTTATATGTGTACGTGTGTATGTGTCCTGCATCATCGGCGGTTACGTCATGCGCGCGTATAATCGTACATCGCTTATAATTATTAACCTGACTTCGAACGACACGTTTACAATGATCACGTTATTCCACTAGGGATGACATGCAGCGTATAAAACATATCTTATCTATATATTTATTTACTGTTGTATTATATACTAGGTTGCCGCATCCGTTATTTCTGTTACACGCTATATACTTCATATATACGCGGTACGTCTCTTACACGCTACCAAAAGATTAACAATCGATACTTCGTATTTCTTTCTTCCCCCCTCCACCCCTTTTGCTTAACGCGACGACTTGCCGTGTATCGCGATATTAACCGGGTTTACGATTCACGAATCAAAGACAGAGGAAGGAAAAAAAACGAGGCGCGTTTCGCGTCTGACGGATATTGCACTTCGAAACTGGACCGCTTTTAAAAATTTCGCGCGTTGGTCTTCGACCAGCCATTAACGCGTTCAAAATGCGTCCACGGCTTCTTTAGTAAAAATCTGGCAAGGGTACGCTTCTAAAAATATAGCCAATGTACGTGTGTGCGCGCGCGCGCGCGCTCGCACGCGCGCATATGTATGTGTAGTGTCTTTTATATTCAAAATAAATTATGTCGATTCGAAACCCAAATCCGCCGTCAAGTTCCATCGCGAGAACTCTCGGAGATACTAC